TAAAAATGTAAGCTAAGATATGTTATTTTGCATAGGTCATTCATCCACCAGAGGGACCACTAGTGGAATGTTTCCAATCATTTATTCTTATTTCAATTGTCAGGGTAATGAAGCAACACTGTTGTCATGTGGTTCTGGACTCCATTCTAGTATTCAGTATTGTACTAACAATGCCATTGAGTTAAACTGTGAAGGTTAGTCTAGTAAAGTGTATGTTTTAATTCTGTTGTTGTATCATTAGCAAATTGTACATCTGGTGACATACGTCTTGTTGGTGGTGGATACTATTATGGTCGTGTTGAAGTTTGTGTTCAAAGAGTATGGGGGACTATCTGCAGAGATGGCTATTGGGATAATAATGATGCTAGTGTCATTTGTAGGCAGCTAGGATTTTCTCCTTACGGTAATTATTATTGTTTTAAATGTTGATCATTGTATTTTGTGCAAAATTATCGCCATGCATGCATATATCTTGTGCTATAGGTTCAATTGCTGTTATTTCTTCATGGAATAGTGAAGAACGTGGAATAACTTTATTAACTGGTTTAAATTGTAATGGAACTGAAAAAAGCATTTTTGACTGTCTAGTTGATGCTAATGCTCCTGTTTGTTCATCTAATTGGGCTGATGCTAATGTTGTTTGTCCAGGTAAACTAAATATATTTATTCATTAATGAACAATCAAATATTTTACAGCTCATGGTGTTTCAACCTATTCTAATTGCACTGATGGTGATATTAGATTGGTTGGTGGTAGCACAGAATATGAAGGAAGAGTTGAAGTTTGCCTTAATAATGCATGGGGAACTGTTTACAACCCTTACAACAGTGATTACTTTGCTCAGACAGTATGCAATGCATTAGGATTTACCTCTACTGGTACATATTTATATGAAGTTATTTATTTATTTTACTTGCATTCTATAGGCGCCATGTATATGAATATGTATAACACAAAATTTGGTGAAGGAAGTGGTCCAATATTAATGTACACATACTGCTATTCCTCAGGAAATTCATTGCTTGACTGCTACTCACAACCACAGTACATTCCAGGCACTAGCCATGAGTATGATGCTGGTGTGAGGTGTGAAAGTAAGGGTTTGCTTGCTCCTGTAGATTTTAATTAACATTATTCATAGTTCCTTGTAAAAATGGTGACATCAGACTAGTTGGTGGCTCTGATCCATTGGTGGGAAGAGTGGAGCTATGTGTTAATAAGACCTGGGGTACTATATGTCATGATTATTGGGATGACAATGATGCTAGTGTTGTATGTAGACAAGTTGGTTTTTCTGGACAAGGTCCTATAATGAAAATTTATGCATACATGATTAATAAATAATTAATTATAGGGGCTAAAGCTAGAAGTAGTTCATACACAGAAAGACTCAAATCCTTTCACATTATTGACTTAAATTGCATTGGAAGTGAAGAAAACGTGTTTGATTGTCCTCATAATCTTGTTCAGCAGTACACCTGTACTGACTATGAAGATGCTAATGTACAATGTACAGGTATCAGTAACAAGTATTTTTATGATGGTCGATTTTATATTTAATAGCATCCAATGCTTCTACCAACTGCACTACTGGTCATGTTAGATTAGCAGGTGGTCAGTCCCAGTATGTTGGTTTAGTTGAGATATGCTATGGAGGAGTTTGGAAATCAATATGCCCTAGAGGGTGGAATAATCGTGAGGCACAAGTTGTATGTAGACAATTAGGATATAATCCTATTGGTTAGCTGCTCATAGGCTAGACTATATAATGCGACTAATTATTAGGAGCTGGTTCTGTTAATCTTGGAAAAGGTTTTGGTATTGTACATTCATCATATTTTAGCTGTACTGGAAGTGAAGCCGCTCTACTAAACTGTAGTTATTACACTTCTTCCTGTGGCTATTCATACCATGCTGGAGTTGAATGTGAATGTAAGTTTAATCTGCTTTTGTTATTTATCTGTTTGTTGTCTGCTCTCTTATAGCTCCTTGTATTGAGGGAGCTGTTCGTTTAGAAGGTGATGATAGATATAATGAATTTGGTCGAGTTGAAGTATGTATTAATGGAACTTGGGGCACCATTTGTCACAATGGTTGGGATAATAATGATGCCAGTGTGGTATGTAGACAGCTGGGATACTCCCCTTATGGTAGAATGTTGTATATTTTTTCTTTCATTATATTTATAATACATAGGTGCTTTAGCTAAAACTTCATATTTTACTGAGACCTGGTTACCTTTTCACCTTTACAGTGTGAATTGTAGTGGTAATGAAAGTACACTGCTTAACTGTTCCTACTCAACTACTGGGTCTTGCTATAGCTATCATGATGCTGGTCTTATTTGTCAAGGTTAGGTTTTAACAAATATGATTCATCTTAATAAAAAACTGTAGGTGTTGGTATTGCACATGATAATTGTACTGATTATGCAGTTCGCTTGGTTGATGGAGCAAGTGCAGTGGAAGGAATAGTTCAAATATGTCTTAATAGGGTCTGGGGTGCATTTTGCTATAGGGATAATTATAATTATGATGTGGATGCTAACCTAATCTGTAGAGACCTCGGCTACAATGGTAATTATCATACTTTGAGTTACTTTGTTAATTTTTCATTAATAAAGGCAATGGAATGACTTATCTTGCTGAGTCTTCTAGTGTAGCTATTTTGCTGGTAGCTGATATGAGCTGCTCTCAATCTGCTACTAGTATTAAGCAATGCAGTCTAACACATTACACTAAGTTATCTAGGTGTGATGCTAGACACACTGCAGCAATCAGATGTCACAGTATGACCAATGCTTGTGTTTATTTAATGCTGGAATATATTATAATTAGATTGCACTGAAGGTAGTGTTAGACTGTTGCCTTATAGCTCTTACTCTGAAGATGTTGGACGTGTTGAAGTTTGTGTTGATGGTACTTGGGGTAGTATATGCTATCATCATTTTACTGACAATGATGCTCAAGTTGTCTGTAGACGTTTAGGATACACTGCATTAGGTGTGTGCACATAATTCTTGTCATAATGTTGACTGCTGACAACTTTAGGATCAGTTTCAATGGGAAGACTCCATTATGATACTGACATTCCCCTTCACATTGTTAATCTTAATTGTACTGGTAATGAAGAGAGTATATGGGATTGTCCCTCAAGTACACAAGGACAGGAATCCTGCACTGTATACACTGATGTATCAGTTGCCTGTCATGGTAGTTATCTTTATAATGAAGCTTAAACTTTCAAAATACACAGGTTTTGCTGTGGAGTATTCTGATTGTGCTAATGGTCAAATGCGTTTATCTAATGGAACAAGCAAAGTGGAAGGAAGAGTTGAATTATGTTACAATCATGTTTGGTTTGGAATATGTGCTGATAACTATAATAATTACTATGGTATTGAAACTGTTTGTAACTCAACGGGTCATTCACAAAGTAAGCACAAAATGTTACATTGTTTTAGTATTATCATAATTATGCTTACTATAGGTGCTCTAGGATATTCTAGCTCATTTCTAGATTATCCTGGCCTTCCATTATTTCCCTATGAGTTCTACTGCTCTAGCATCATGGGCTCTTTGTTGAATTGTTCAAAAGGAGCTATCAGTTGTTACAGAAGTTATTCCTCTAATAACTATTATAAATATTTAGGAGTAACTTGTCATGGTAATATAATTTGTACTTAAAGCTTAATTGATTACATTCTTACAGATAAGTGTCTTCATGGTGACATTAAACTCTCAGGTTCAGGGTATAGCTCTATTGGTAGGATTAATCTATGTGTGAATGGTGTTTGGGGGACTATCTGTAACACTGGCTTTGATGATGCTGATGCTAGTGTAGTTTGTGCTCAATTAGGATTCTCACGTCATGGTAGATATTGCTTTACATGTCTCTTTAAGTACTTTCCTTACTGGTAGGTGTTTTGCATAGTCCTGATAGATATTATTATTCTAATGGTGCACATGTGCAGTTTTATAATTTAAACTGTACTGGAACTGAATCAAGAATTTGGGAATGCTCATTTAATAATAGTACTTCACAATACTGCTACTATGGAAATGCTGCATATGTGATATGTCAGAGTAAGCTGCTGGAATTTTAAATCAGTTATTAACTTATTATCCTAATTTTATTAGTTAATGATGATACTGTTGATACTTCGTGTACAACTGGTGATGTTAGATTAGTTGGTGGTCCCAATGAGTATGAAGGAAGAGTTGAAATATGTTACAATCAAATGTGGGGAACTATTTGTGATCATCTCTGGGATACAACTGACGCTAATGTTGTTTGCAAACAGCTTGGTCATCAGATGACAGGTAGCTATCTCCAAGAATCTGTTTGCATTTACAATAATTTTAGGATCAGTACCTGTGCGTGGCAGCTATTATGGAGAAGGGCAGGCACCATTTGTTATGAGAAATATGTATTGTTCCAGTAGTGACAGTTCACTAATGGCTTGTAATCAGTATTTTGATATCAGTATTGCTATTAATTGTGGTATAACTAATGCAGCAAGTGTTGTATGTTTAGGTAAACATAATAAACATGTTTTTCATCTTTGACTAATAATAACAGAAGTTTGTAATGATGGTGATGTAAGACTGAGTGGATCATCAGTGACATATGCTGGTCGTGTTGAACTGTGTGTTGAGAGAACATGGACTACACTGTGTGATCAAACATGGGACTTTAATGATGCTGCAGTGACTTGTAGACAACTTGGATACTCTTCATATGGTTAATACATTTATAATATAATTTATATTAATATCATTATAGGTGCTATACCAACATACAATTGCTATACTGAGGGACAACTGTCCTTTGGTATTACTAATCTGAATTGTACTGGGTCAGAAGGACATATTTTTAACTGTACACACAGCAGTCCATATTTATATACCTGCAAGTCACATAATGATGCTGGCTTAATTTGTCAAAGTATTTATATTTATTACAAAATACAAGTTAGGTAAT